AAAAAAAAAAACCCTGAAAGTCAGTTGTAGTTTTTCATTTATTTTTTTTTAATGAAGTGTTACTGAAAATAATTAGCTGAACAATGACAGCATTCTCTAGTTACAGTTTAAAGTGAGATAAAGAAAATAGAAATAATGGTATAAATAATATCAAGCAACAGCCTTTGCAGAAATTGCTTAAGGCAATGGCCATAACTGACATTACAAATTCTGCTTTTATATCTACATATACAAATCTATACATTCCACAAATACAGGATCAGTTGAGTTTTAGTCCACTGATGCGCTATTCAGTATGGGATACCTCAGATTTTACTGCGGATTAGAAGCTTCTGTTTCCTCATACAAATCCACAACAGAGCTGATCCTCCGTCACTCATGCTTGTAGCTCTTAGGCATAATGAGGACTAGCGTTCTTATTTCAGTTTTTCATCTTGATTTCTTCACATTTTTAGACTAGTCTCAAACATTTGGTCCTTTTATTAACAGTAAACTAACAGCAAATGGAACTATGATGCCAAATCTCCATCTCTTCATGGGATGCCAGGAAGAACTAGATTCATTATTGATGTAGATTAATCTTCACCCTAAAACGTAAAAGGGAAAAAAAGGAAAAACATGTCAGTCACAGGCACTGTCCCAAAGCTAGTCATGGTTTCAGCTATCAAGAAAGAGAAAAGCTTTTTGAAATGTATCTAATACATTAAAGAAACACCCACAACCAAACACCTCTGATACAAGTTATAAGTCTTCTGAAAAGCACTTCATAGAATGCAGGTTCTTTGGCAAACACTGGTTATTATCAGAGTACAAAAGCAGACGATTTTTTTTTTTTATTTTTTTTTAACACATATTACAAAATGTTCTCAGTTAAGTGACAGGTCTATTAAATGTATCCACTGCATTTTTCAGGATTCTATGCCTCCAGCATATGTTTGGGATTAAAAAGACAAGAATTATTACATCTTTTTCTTACCAAGTTTCCACTATCTGGTAAATCCTTGGGTTAAATTCTCCAAAAGAAGGTACAGTGCTTACTGTACAGTGCTTACTCCATCAGCATCAACTGAGTTCAATCTTATTACACCTTATTATACCAAAGTCTTAGCATTTACAGGCAGCATTTTTTTTTTGAAGACTGTGGATAGTTTCCAGGAGATACCCACCTTCAGCTGGGCAAACGGTTCTAGCTGACCATTAGGTTTCCGTGGCAAGTGGGAAAATGAAGCATTTCAAGGCTGATTTCCTTTCTTCAATGTTTGTGAGAGAGAACCAGCTGCACACACCCACTGCAGGAGAAACGGGTGGAAGGCTGTACCCATCTTGCACAAAGAGAGGGTAAGTCTAAGCCATCCTCCCTTACTTAGGGTACTATATGACTCCTAGTCAGGGGACTTGGTTGTGTCACTTCTAGCAGCCACCTCAATGTGAATGAAGACCGCATCCATTAGAGTACCAAATGAGCACATACCTCAGACATTTCTGTTAGTTTTCAAGGGCAACTGCTGAACTTCAAACACCGAAATAAAGGACTCCCAGAGATCCATCTATGCCCAGAACATTTATAACATAGCATGATGTGCCATGTGATGGAAGCCACAGAACTTTATCTGATTAAATGACTGTTGCTGGGAATTCTACATTCCCTAAAGAACTACAGCACCTAGAGCATGTTGGAAGATTGCAGTTAGAGCCTCTAAATCTGTCACACTTATTTTGACTTACAGGACAAACATAGAAACAGTTGAAGATGATGGAGGCTGTAACATGCCTCCTGTCCCACCTGCATGAAGCACAAAACACCTGTTAGAACATGGGTGCTGCTATTTGTGCCACAGAGCTGGGCCCAGGCTTGCCGAATACAGTCCTGTAATGCCAACTGCTGGCTAAGCCAGGAAGCAGGAGCCACTGTGATGAGGAACAGATGAAAACTGTTGCTCATCACAACAAGGAAATTCCAACTCCTAATTTCCTCCATAAAAGAAAACTTAACTCCTGAGAAGCTTCTTGTTTGGTATCACAGAAAGTGAAACAAAGAACAAGTGGAGGGAAGAGAGCAGGTGGAGTATTTCTGGGGAGACCAGAGCTGGATTTGTCACATAACCTAGTCCAGAGTGGAACTGTTCTGGTCACACATACCTTAACTCCTCTGCATGTTTTCTATATCCCCGACTCAGAAAGACACTTCAGTATACATATAACCTTTGAAATACATGTTTATTACAATATATACTTTACAATTGAAACTAGAGGCACAACATAAGTCTAACTCTAACCAAAAATAATATATTACACTTCTGGCATGATCAGGTTACAAAGTCTAACTGCAAGGTTCACAGAGTATAGTTCTGATTATCTGACCTAGGTTTGTTGGTTGGGTTTTTTTTTTTTCCTCTGGAGAACCCAGAAAAAGGACAGGCAAGCATTCACAGACAAACCCCCAAACTTATGGGATGGCTTTGTTGCCATCTTTCAGGACAAAGTG